CTCATGGCGCCACTTTCGCTCCTTCAGGGGCAATTTCAGGATATGTCTGCCATCAGGGAAACATGGGCAGCGAGAATTTTCCAGCCGTTCTGTGTACGAAACCATGTCTGACTCTGAGGCAAATTTTCTTTACCGCCCTTTCGCTGGAATCCAGATCCACGAAAGCGAGTATCTTGCCCCGATCGTTGTAATCACACGCGCAGGCATCCCTGTGGGGGCGACCGCCCGGCCGCTGCTTTCGGAACTCACGAATTTCCTCGATTACACGTACAGATTTTCGCAAAACCGTAACGCACTGATCTCTGGTCCGCGTAAAAAAAGATCATCCAGCGTCTGAAGATCGTTTTCTCGCGAAGCCGCCTTTTCATAAAGATCAGCCAAGGCTCAACTTCCGCTACAATCCGCGGATCATTCAGTATCATCGCTGTTTCCTTCTGCATGCCCGGCGAGAACAAGCTTATGCCCGCGTTCCCGCAACGTCTGAACCTGTCCTGGGTCCAGTTCCGTATCCGTAAAGACACAGGACACCTGATCCAGATGCCCGACCTTATAAGTGGACCGACGCCCGAACTTCATGCTGTCTACGAGAAGGAAGCACTCTTCCGTACGCCGCATCATGGCAGCATTCAGGCTTGCTTCCTCGCCATCCGGAGTCGAAATCGTATCGTCAGGCTGCACGGCACTGGCACCCAGAAATACCTGATCGAACCAAAGATTTTCGATGGCCTGTTCCGCCAGAATTCCCACAAGACTACGGTTGGCATGACGCAGACGACCACCCAGAAGGATCATCTCAACGCCTTTCAACTCCATCAGCGCTCTGACACCGTGATGTGTTGAAACCGTCAGGGGGCACTCGGTCAATCCGCAGACGCGCCGGGCGAGCTGCTAACACCGTCGTTCCAGCATCGAAAAAGACGCCGAACCGCGCTCAGGACAGGAAAAAGCCTCATTCGCATAGCGCGCTTATGATCCAGAGCCTGATTTTTTCGCGGGTTTTCAACGCCACCTCACGATCGGGACAGACTCGGCAAGGGACGCCCCACCATGCGTCCGGATGACGATACCCTGCTCTTCCAGTCGCTGGAGATCACGCCTGATCGTTGCAAGCGATGCATCGACCTGCTCGGCCAGTTCGTGAACGCCAGTCATGCCGTTCAGGTAAAGATAGTGACGGATCTGCGTCAGACGG